TCTGATTTCGAAGCTCTTCTGCAAATTTATGAGGGGATTTTGTGGAATGGCAAGAAATGTTAAGCCTTCTTCTGGAATTGAACGGAGCTTTGTATGGTTTAGTGTCCGAGAAGGATGACGATAATGGCGGATTGGTGAAATGGATGTGAAGAGCTACTGAGAGCTTGGCAGCCATGGAAGACAAAGAAGTTTTTCGGACCTTATCTTTTCGTTTTCTTTTTCCTGGGGAGAAGATTTTGATCTAGGAATGAACGTTTGGGCCAAACGAGACAGGGCCTCAAGATTAATTACTAGCCCATAAAGTCCAATTGTTTGGGCGTAATATTTTAGACAACATTCTCCAAGACTTACCTTAAATCTAAGTCCAAAAACGATCCATACGCTGTATATTCTGTGCATAATTGAATGAAAGTATTCTAAAAAGAAAATCTTATAACATCATTCTCATGCATGTTATTAAGAATTTTAAAATTTATTCTACAAAAAATCAAAATGGACAAAAAGAGTGAAATAAATGGGAAGGGTTTGTGTACAAGAATCAGTGTGAAAAGGACAAAGTAAATGGGGAGCAAGAGAGGTTCATAGAGAGATTTCAGTTCCTATAACTGTTTTCTTTATCTTATTTTTGGGTATAGGAAGTGGGGAGCAATTGTAACTTTTAAAAAATTTGTGGGTCTACCTGTAAAAAGTTAGATAAATTTTGCATTACTATACTACTTAGAGCTAAAGTTTCATTTTATATGACAAATTCTATCGTGAACTTAGAAACCACAGTACCTCCATAGATGAATCTAGTAAATAAATGCATACAAGCTTTTCTGATTGAAAGGTAAGAGGATTCGTGCATTCAAGCTTTTCTCCGATTGTCTACAGTTGGTCACGGCTATTGAGCAATGGGATCGTGGCCCCTTTTCTTCATATCTTGGTTCGTTGATTGAAGACTGTTATGTTTTACTTTCTTCTTTTGAGTCTGCATCTATTTGTTTTATTCGTAGATCTTTTAATTCTGTTGCTCATACTTTAGCGAGAAGTGCTTCTACACATCGTTCCATGTGGGATGACACTCCTCCGGAACTTATTGTGGACCTTTTAGTTAATTAATGAATTAATATTTCCTTTCAAAAAAGATAACTTTTTAATGTTTTTTTTAAGAATAAGAATTTTTTTAAAGCTCCGAACTATTGTATACCATAATTCTTCTTTTTTTAATTTTTCAAAACAAATTTTAATCACTAATTTCTTATCTTTCAATATTTTTTTAAATTCTGTGAAATCAACCTCTCCAAATTAAACTAGAACGAAGAAAGCAATAAAACCTACGGTATCACTATATTACTTTATAACTTTTTAAATTTCTAAATTAATTTTAAAATAGATTATTTCAAAAATGAAATTCATCCGTTGTCATATACGGAGTACAAATTATCATATTGTAACTTTTATTTCGGGAAGAAAGGGAGGGATGCATTTTTTAAGCAAAAACTTTTCAATGGGTGGGGGAGGGGTATAAATAAAATTAACAGTAAATTAAAGGGGAGTACGTGGGAAACTTGCTTTGTTTGGGGCGATTTTGTGACGCCAAAAGTTCCATTTCACACCACAGCTGCGCGTTTGCTACTAACTTATTAGCTAATCATGCTTTTCGTACTTTAAAAAATCTCTAATCACCCTTTTTATCTTCTCATCTAAAAGCAATTACGCGGTCTAGTTCACTAATCACCACTAGAGATTATATTTGGCAAAATTATCCCAAAAATAATGTCCGATAATGGGTTCATTATGACCCATTATTTGAGTTTTTGATCAAGTTGATGTTTTTGAACATGTAATTTTGGGTCTTCTTTGCCAAGAGAATGTCACATGTTCGGATTTTATCGCTTCTTAGTTTAAAATAATAATCAAAATTTCACGTTTAAGTCTTGAAGTAATCACATCATATGTATTCACTGTCAATTAATTAAGACATTACGTTCCGTGCATTCCTACTATAAAGCAAAGGTAGAATTGAAAGAAAAAAAATATTACTAAGATTATGATACGAGGTGTATCGGATACGGAAGATTTTGAGTGTCTTGAAGCTCAAGAAATATGGGGAAGGAGAAGAGAGAGAGATTGCAGGATGGAGATCCCTGCACCTAAAGAGGAAGAGAGACTTTAGGGTTTGAATTGATAATTAATCCTAAAGGGATACATCTATATCCATAGATAAAGAGATTTCTAATCCTAATTAAACTAGATTTTCTTTTTTGACGGTTCAATTAAAACGACGGGATAAAAAACCCTAAGGAAACTTTCGAAGGAAATTATAATTTTGCTCACGTAATAAAATCTAAAGTACAATAATAATTCAACTAGGATAAATTCTAGAAATTATAATCGTGTTGTCATGCTGGTTGAGGTCGTTCCCTTTGGCTACGTTGTAACGATTCCTGAGCGAATTCCGTGACTTCACCTTATTCACCCGCCATCAGCTCAGACTCTGGTACCGTGTAACAAATTACACATTTTCTAAATCCAACTTTTTTCCGAAAAGGAAAAGCTTTGGAGAGGGGGAATGTAGTATTTATCAAACGTATACGGATGTACAATATAATTTGTGATTCTCGAGCCGGGCCTAACCACCGGCCCGAGAGAAGGAGTCAATTAAACTGGATCTCCCTCTTATTATTATTATCAGAAAAAACACTGTGGAGTACTCTCACACAACTCCGTAACTGTCAAAGCATTTCTAGCCTTGGCGCCAAATTAAATAACTGTTTTTTTCAAGTGTGAACACATCTCAGGTTCTGGTGGGGCCAATGTAGAAATCCTTTCCGTTTTTTTTCTTTCTTTTTCTTTGTTTTTTTATCCCTCATCTTATAAATACCCAATCTCCGTTCTCTTTACTCCACACACTCATTCTAAAAAAAATCATTTCTTTTTTTTTTTCTGGAACTCTCACACAAACCCAAGAATCTTAATCTGTTTTTCTCTCTTGTCATTTATTTATTAAACAAAAAAAAGACTTTCTTTTTTTTAAAAAAATAAAGTAAAATGATTCTTCTTGATCGATCATGTTCATGAGAATCTTGATGTTCTTGGCATTTCTTGGAGCTCAATCCATCCTGCAGCTTGATCAATCAGAGTCTTCAAACTCTGGGATACAAAAACTGCAGAAAACCCAACATAAAAAAACCAGCTTTTTATTGTCTGGGCAATATATATAATTTCTCTGTCTGGATTGGCTAGCTTTAGAAGCAGAAGAAGAAGAAGAATATATATAGCTAGTATATATAGTACAATAATGGTGGGAGCATCATTGCCACCGGGGTTTCGGTTCCATCCGACAGACGACGAACTGGTGGGGTACTACTTGAAGAGGAAGAGCCAGGGGCTGGAAATAGAGCTAGAAGTCATCCCTGTTGTTGATTTGTATAAAGTTGATCCATGGGAGCTCCCAGGTCTGTCTTCTATATCTATTTAATAACTCTGATCTGATCTTCCATTGCCATGCATATATATATATATATATGTGTGTGTGTGTGTGTGTGTGTGTGTGTGTGTTTCTTCATTTCATTTGTTTACAAGACTAGATATTGGTTTAGTTTGAATTATTAAATTGTCTCAATGGATACATGCATATATACACTCATCATATATCATACTCCATCGGTTTCATAAAACGAATCATATTTTTACTTTTAGAATAAATAAGAAGTGTATATATATGATTGACTTTTCAATTTTACTCTTGATGTAATGAGTAAAAATAAGATGTGATAGATAGATTATTAGTGATGAAAAGTATGATCTGATAGATAAAGTTAGGAAAGTAGAGGTAAAAATGATTTTTTAATAAAGAGAGGGAAAAGAAAAAAATGAAAGAGAGTATATAGATATATACTAGATGTTTTGTTTGATAATGATTGACACATATAAAAAAGATTCATTTCATAATATGATGATATTGGGCAATTTAAGGGTCTTAAGTGCTCTTTTTGACCTCATCAAAGTGATTATGATCTTCTCTAATCCCCACAAACTCCCTACCCCTCCACACACATCAATGTTTCTTTCATATGTAAGCTAGGAAATTAAATACTTTAGCATATCAGCAAAACAAGAGACAGAATGAAAGGTTTCGAGGTGGGTTAAAACAGTAGAAATCGCTTTAGATTCGAGTGGAGCATCATATATATACCGCTCGACTTCAAATGCACTGGTGTTTAACAATGTACTCCGTATTAGAAAATGCTCTCAATTGTGTGATGCATTATGAAAATTTTGCTTCATATAGGACTAAAAGATAGTACGTTTTCCTGAATATGACTAGTATGTTTAATTTCCTTTATGACGCAAAATTCTATATGATGTGCCATATATGTCCTCATTAGCAAGGAGTATTGGATAATGACTAATTATACAAATGACCCTACGAATATGGTCATTAGCTATACGGATGTCTCTACAAATGTTAATAATTGATTATTTCAATGACTATTCAAATCATTTTTTATACTCCGTAATATATATCTTAATTATTTTACTTGAATTGTGTAATTGGTAATTTTTTGGATCATATATTTAACATGTATAAAAGGGTTATAATAATGTAAATTTCATACTAGTAGTTTCTTATGTTTTGGATCATATATTTAACATTTTTGGGGAGCATTAATTAATTAATTAATGGTGTGGAAAGAATTTCGAAAAGTGGTAATTCATGAACGAGTTTAACTTTTTTAATTAGCTTCAACTCCCCATTTGAAACGGCTTATGCATGTTTGAAAAAGTGGATTATGCTTTATTGCTTTCTGTCGTCTGCAAACTTTATTTCCTTCTAAAATTGAAAATGTTTCATCTCTTTGCTTTTTCATCCATTCAAAAATTCAGAAATGTTTCTTAAAATAAGTTTGTCAAAATTGCTAAATTATTTTTAACTTATAAGTCTGCTGATGACATACGGAGTATTTTTTTTACTTATAAGCTGCTTATAAACAACAAAAATAAATATATCTTACCTACTTATTTTATGTCAATTTCATTTTAAGTAATACTCCCTCCGTCCCATAAAGTGTTACCCATTTTGACTAAAGTTGAAATTAAGGGAGGGATAATTTTGTGTTGACTTTCCAAAAATACCCTTGATGTGATGGGTAAAAGTAGGATGTGATGTGTAGATTATTAGGAAAAAGGTATGATGTGATAGGTAGGGTTTGAAAAAGTAAGGGGTAAAAGTGGTTTTTTAATAGAAATGAGTAAGGGATTG